TTCAATTATGTTACCACACATTTGCTTTGCCTTCCTTGTAGATTTCTCCCTCTTATGTGTAACTAAGTGAACTGTATACATATTCATTTCAGGGAAGAATATGGGGCATGGAAAAGAGATGGACATGTGTGTAATTGTGATATTCATACAATGCCATGTTTTACAACCAATAGTTGCAAGGATGTAAAAATATTAAATTAATAAATGTTTTCCAGCTTTTTTCTAAGTTATATATATAACTTTTTTAAGTTTCAGAGAAATCCTTAGTTTTCTCTCAAAAGAGCAATGTGTATTTACCATATAATGCTACATTAGAAAACAAGGAAGTTGCATATACTTCCTTTATCAGTGAAGCTCATTGTTCTGATATATTGGTAAGGAAACTACTATATTAAATATTCTTTTTCATTAGTCATATCTTATTTTAAAAGACGTTTCAAACTGGGCAAGAAAGTGTATGTCTGTAATCCCAGTCCTCAGAAAGCTGAGGCAGACAGGATTAAGAGTTTGAGGTCAGCCTGGGCTACATATCAAGTTCAGGGTCAGCCTGAACTACATAGCTAGACCCTAGGTAAAAATGTACAAAAATTCAAAATCAAGAAAGGTAAAAGAAACTACATGCAAGGAACATATTACTTCTCAATCCTTAATAAGTACATCTCCCTTGTGGACAGAAGATACTGTACGCATGATGGGTACAAGCCTTTTGAAAGAAAAGACTTTTTAAAATTATTTTATATCTTTTGATTAGGTCAGTAGGAATGAAGAGAATTCAAAAGACATTCCTTCCTTTTAGAAATGTTGCTGTATTCTGATATAATTTACATAAAACAGGGGTTTATAATACACACAGGTGAATGAGTTGCCTTAAATATACATTTTCATGAAAAGACACCTACATTAAAGGTAATATGCATATACCTCTCTGTCTGTGTGTCATTGTATTGTAAGAACACAGTGAGATTTGTCCTTTTAGTGAATGTTGACATGTGAGCACAGTGCTGTCTGTCTTGGACATAGATTGCTCAACCACAGGACAAGTCCTTCATCTCATACAGCTAACCTCTGCTTATTGAAGAAAGACTCTGTCATCCATCCCCAACAATCAACATTCTTCTTTCAACCTTTGTATGATGACTAACTTGGATACATCATTTAAGAGAAATTATATGGTATTTTCTTTTTGGTATATATTTTGTGTCTGTTATTTTACTAACTTTCAGTTTTATCCGTATGGTCATAAACAGTGGGATTTTTGCCAGGCATAGTGTTTGGGTGACTATTTGGAATACAAGCTTTTGGGAGGCTGAGGTAGAAGGTTAACAAGTTCCAGAATAGTCTGGGCTTGGTAGGTCATCCCAGTCATTAAGAAAAGATATTAACTGCAATAATTACTTTTATTTTTTAAGGCAACACTTCATTCTGAAAACATATCACTTAACAACCTCTAGTGAAAAAACTACAAAGAACACAAGGTCCTGAGTTCATATCCACACGCACACATGAAATGAAGCAAGTTCTAAATGAGAAAATATCTGAAAAGCAACAAAATGACCACAAAGACCTCTCAATCCATGGAGGGTAAGGAATGCCACCAAATGACACAAGGAACTAAATCAGGATCAAGACATTCAAGTGACACAAGTTTTATGCCTGTAGTGTATGCCTGCAATCCCAGTCCTCAGAAAGCTGAGGCAGACAGGATTAAGAGTTTGAGGTCAGCCTGGGCTACATATCAAGTTCAGGATCAGCCCGAACTACATAGCTAGACTCTAGGTAAAAATGTACAAAAAAATTCAAAATCAAGAAAGGTAAAAGAAATAACATGCAAGGAACATATTATTTTTCAACCCTTATCTCCCTTGTGGACAGAAGTCATTGTATAGTTATTGGGTAAAAAGAAATTCCACTGACTGTTCTGATGACAAGAGTAATAGATGGTTTTATATTGAAAAAGATGTTTATCTTTCTGTCTTTGTTTTTCAGTTGTGATAAAGTCTGTGAATATTCTACTAGTTAAGAAGATTAGTATGAAAATATTAAGAATAAAAATTGTATCCCAGAATCTAATCTGTAGCTTAATTTACAGTGTAACTTTAACTATCTTTCCTTCTTTTCTTCCTACCTCCCTCCCTGACTCCCTCCCTCTCTCCCTCTTTCTCTCCTTCTCTTTTCTTTCTCTCTCTTTCTTTGTCTCTCTTTTTGTCCCTCTCTTTCTCTCTCTTTCTCCTTTCTTCCTTCCTTCCTTTCTTTTTCTCTTTCTTTCTTTCTTTCTTTCTTTCTTTCTTTCTTTCTTTCTTTCTTTCTTTCTTTCTTTCTTTCTTTCTTTCTTTCTTTCTCTTTCTTTCTTTCTTTCTTTCTTTCTCTCTCTCTCTCTCCCTCTCTCCCTCCCTCTCTTCCTCCCTTCCTTCCTTTCTTTCTTTCTTTCTTTCTTTCTTTCTTTCTTTCTTTCTTTCTTTCTTTCTTTCTTTCTTTCTTTCTTTCTTTCTTTCTTTCTTTCTTTCTCTTTCTCTCTCTCTCTCCCTCCCTCCCTCCCTCTCTCTCTCTTTCTTTCTTTCTTTCATTCCTTCTTTCTTTCTTCCTTGTCATGGGGCTTGAACTCTGGACCTGGGCACTGTCTTAGCTCTTCAGCTCAAGGCTAGCACTCTATCTCTTAAGCCACAGAACCACCTCCATTTTTCTTGTGGTTTATTGGAGATAACGGCATCATGGCCTTTCCTGCCTAGGCTGACTTTGAGCTGTGATCCTCAGACCTCAGCCACGTGAATAGCTAGAATTACAGGTGTGAGCCATTGGCACCCAGCTTGTATTTCATTTTTAGCACAGATTCTTTATCTAAACCTTTGGTTATGAGGAAGATTGTGCTATTCAATTAGTTTCATATTCTCTTATGAATTATAAAAGGAGATATCTCTTTCTTGCTATCCATTAGGATTAATTAACATTTTGCTTTATTTATTTCTCTCAAGGAAAGTATTTTGAACAGTAGGCATCTTATCCCCAGAGACTTCAGAATTGGGAAAAATTTCCCTCACTAGACTTCAGCTATTACCCATGTTGTTTACACATAAAATCAGCAGGACCATGGCAAGATGAAAATCAGATGTGGTCCTCACCAATTTTATATTTCTTAGGTGGGGGAAGATAGAAATATTTGCAGTTGTAACCTAAGGCTGAGGAGACACTTGGCAATTGGGTCTGATGCACATCAGAGTCTGAGCTTCCTTCTCAGATGAAAACCCCCAGGAGTTTGGAATTATAAATAACCAACATTTCTTCATGACCCAATTCAATAGAAATTGGTCCACATGCAGTAAGTACGATGCCATTTCTATAATTCCATGAACTAAAATTGAAAATAAATTTAATTTTTGAAATTTATTTTTTCCAGCCCTTTTATTCCTTAACATCTTAATAAAAGACTATTTCCCAAAGTTTAAAAAAAACCTTTGAAAAATAGAGTTTTGTATTATTTACACAGCAGGTCCCCAAATCAAATGAACACTGCCACCTTAGAAACACAGTAGGAAGGTGAGATGTAACTCACTGCCTTCAGATGCAAAGAGTGACAAATATGTTCGCATATTTCAACAGCCTTCGTTACGTATCCTGATGAACCATAAGGTACGCGAGAGGCTGGAAGACCAATGACAATTTGAACACCTTTGACTTTTTGTGATCTTATTTTCAGATTTAAAAGTTACTGCATTTTAAATTTCTTTACAACTTCACAAAGTAAAGCTAAGCTAGCTTTCTTCTCATTATTCTAGATGATCTATTGTGAACTATATGAATTGTTTCTCTGTCTACAACTCAAACATTCAAGCATACAATGAAGTTGTGTAAAATATATATGCCCACCGCTTTGCGAACAACCTAAATTCCACTTAGAGAAATGTCAACTCTTTAGTCTCCATGCTATTTCTAAAAAAAAAAACAAACCATAAAATAGACTGCCATTAAATGGTATAAGTCGATTATAAATTATTCAAGAAAGCTAAGATTAAATATTCTAAATCATGGGTTTATTTGTATTTACAAATACACTGGAAATTCTGTACATGCCCATGATCAAACTAATTTTCACTAGACAGGTGCTTTAACCAGCTAAGCCATGGCACCTCAAGCTTATTTTCTATGTACACTACTTCATTTTTGATGTGTGATTTGTTCTGACAAATCCCTTTTCAAGCTGAACACCAGGGAACAGTCTTCCAACCATAAGCATCTCTGATGAAAGCTATACAGCACCTCAATATCTGAGGACTGATAAATGCTGTTAGTATAATTGAAAACTGGAAAAAAGAAGCAGCCACCAAGATTAACTTAGCAGCAGTATTTATCTTTTTTTTTTTTTTTTTGTCAGTGGTGGGGCTTGAACTCTGGGCCTGGGCGCTGTCCCTCAGCTCTTCAGCTCAAAGCGACCACTTGAGCGACAGTTTCACTTCTGGTTTTCTGGTGGTTTATTGGAGATAAGAGTCTCATGGTCTTTCCTGCCCGGGATGGCTTTGAACCGTGATCCTCAGATGTTAGCCTCCTAAGTAGCTAGGATTACAGACGTGAGCCACCAGCACCCGGCTTGAATGTTGGTTTTAAACTAGTAGAAGTATATAGCAAGGATTGGAACCTAGTGTTTAAGGTGGTGAAAGTATTCAATATCTAACATAAAAAACCAGTGGCAATCAACATTACATCTCTTGAAATGATCATATAAGTTGGTGGTATTAGAATAAGGTCTGCATAGGGCAAGGTAACATATAAGATACTGATAAGTATTTTATCAGCAAGAGGATCGAGAGCATTTCCCAAAGCTGATTTTTGATTGGCCCAATCCATCAAACAAACCAGCCTAGCTAAAGCCAAAACTCCTAGGGTAACATTAAAATCTTCAAGTATCAAATAGCCCAAACCTGGGGCCAGGCCAGTTCTTGACATTGACAACATATTTGGGATTGTCCATGGATTTTCACACAAGCTGGTGCTCAGGTGCTGAATGGGCAATGGTCCACTCGCAGCCACGCAGGCGCCAGGCTAGCATGTCCCTGCAGAGGTGCCATGGCCCACTAGCAGCATGGAGCTCAGCAGACTGCGTGTCCAACATGCTGCTCCACCTCGCAGGCCCGGCGATCACAGAGAGGCATGGAGGCTGCGGCCTGTACGGATTCTCTAAATGTATTTATTTTTTAAAATATCTTTAAATACTTGTTACAGAGTTGTTTCCAGTTTAACCTGTAAACATATGTATACTGGATCTTAGTAAGTGTTACTCATTTGATATTTCATTTTTAACCAATGAATTGTATTTCTGACTTCTTCTATTTGGGCTCTGGGTGTATACATTGAATAAGATGAAGGTACAAGGAAGAAAAAGAGTGTTGTTTGACACGCATCTTAAATTACGATTCAATTTTTCAGTGGTAAAAGTTTTGATGTATTTATGAGTGGCATGTTGGATAAAAGCAATGTTTTGTGTATACCTTAAAGTGTTTGCACTGGTTTAAGTTAAAAACAATCTTGAATGGATGAAAGAGTTGAAATTGTGATGTACTGTACCTACAAACTGAGTTATTGTAAAAAATTATGGACACTGTAAAATTATTATAACAATTTCTCAATATATTTATAGGTCTTAGATACAATCTCTTTGCACAACTACTTGACAATAAATAAAAATTAAAAATTAAAACCAAAGGAGTCTGTACAGTATGTTCACAAATAAAATAAAATTAAATTAAAAAAAAGAAAATTAAAAATTAAAAAAATTGGTTGATCAGGCAGTTCCAATAACTTACCTCAATTCTTGCATGTTAGCCCTTGACAGTAGAGTTCTTGATATCTATCCTGATGATTCATGTCATAATATAGTTTATTAATTTGTTTTGAGTAAAACAATTGTCCCTTGATGAGTTGCAATGAAATTATTTTTCCTGTTCAAAGTAAGTGCTTCATGTCCGTCTAGCAATAGGTCAATAGGCTACATAGGCAGTGTAAATAAGCAAAAACTGTAATAAATACAAGATTTCCCCTTGCAGGACATTCAATTTACTCTTTGTTGGTTTTCTTTCTCAATTTCATTGTTGACCAGTTTAATAAGGGCAAGGAAACTAATGGTTGCCTAGAATGGAAATTGGCAGTGTAAAATATTACATACCAAGATATTTAAGGAATATTTTTATAGAATGTAAACATGTTGCTCTAACTAATGGTGGTACACTGCTGAGATTGTACAATTACTCAAGTTCCTAGAATTGCATGACATAAATTGATGGTATTTATGCTGTATAAGTTATTTCTCTACAAAATTGAAAAGGCAAATACATATTTCTGAGTTTGGATTACTACATTATACAAATTTAAACTCAGATCCAAGTTTATGGGATTAAATCAAAGCAAAGAAAGTATAAAAAAGAAAACAGACACTAGAAAAATTATTACAGCAATTTCTCTATCTAGATAATTTGGACATATAATAAATACTCGGTTAATTTAAAGTCAGTGTTGAAGATGTAGTCTGAATTCCAAATCCATAACTATATTCTAATAATATAATAAATATTTTATTAATGTCTTTATTAGTTGGATTCTAAAAGTGCTACTCCAAAAAACCATTGGGTAATATATATTTCAATATCTAGCTATCATCAGGTCTTTAAGTTTTCTGTGAGTGACAATACCAACAAAACCAATCTTACTCCCTGATGCAATCAACTGTGTCCCTGTGCCTCTTTGTGTTCAAGGCTAGCGCTCTACCACTTAAGCCACAGCTCCCTTAGGGATTTTTTCTTGTAGTTTATTGGTGGTGAGAGTCTCATGGACTTTCCTGCTTGGGATGGATTTGAATCATGATCCTCAGATCTCAGACTCCTGAGTAACTAGGATGAAAGTCTTGAGCCGCTGGCACCGGACACTTGACTTTTTGGTAGTTAATTGAAGATAAGAGTCACATAGACTTTCCTGCTGGGGGTTGGCTTTGAACTGTGATCCTCAGATCTCAGCTCCCAGAATAGCTAATATTACAGGTATAAGCATTCTGTGCCTGGCTCCTTTGTTCTTGTTAATCAGCCTCTTCTGATTATTAGGTTGACCATTAACTTGCATAAGTTTTATTTAAGAATTGTTCCTTATGAACCATTGAACCCAAGATCATGTCAATTTGTTACTACATGAAATATGTAGTTGATGTCACAGCATTTTTATGTTTGTGACTGATCTCACTGAATAGTTGTGAAATAAAAATGTTAATAGATTTTTAATAATGCTTTTTCTTTGCAATAAAACTGAGAGGAACTATTGCAAATGACTTGCCATTCTACAATTTCACATAGAAACTAACAATAAAATTCATAATAAATCTGTATAGAAAATACATATAAATAATATTGGTATTTTATTCAAGTTGGAGGCATCTTGGTGATGCTATATATTTTTGCTGTATATTATTAACTCTTGTATATGCAAGTATATCTTAGATACAAAGTCCTATATGTATCACTTAGATTTGTTTGAGAAAGCTTCCACATTTACATATGTACACTCTTGATTTAATTCAAGTAAGGAGATCAGTTCTTGCTGGCACCATATTGGCCACATGGTGGATTGTAGGGTCTGGCATCTTATCTTCATGATGGGGAAAGGAAAAGCCCCTGCCCATCACCTGCCTCCCAGGTGATAGGCATGCCTGGATCCCTGGAGAAAGGGGTGGGCATTTGGCTGATAGGTTACTGAATCTGTCAGTCCAGTGCCTGGCCTGGGAATTTCCTGTAGATCTCCTGCCTACTTCCAACCCTATTTGCCCGGACCAGCCCAGCTGCCAGGACACCATGCCATGTGTGTCTCTGTGATCTTATCCTATGTCCTGTCTCCTGGCTTGTCTCCAGTCATCATGGCATCCTAATTCTACCCTCCATTGGAGCTGAATTGCCTTGTTGGTATTGTTTTTGTATTTCTTTCCTTTCTAGTATGTTTCCTAGCTCTGTTATGTGTATTTGCATACTGCAGGCCTTTGTAACAACTGGTGGCCTGCAGCCTGTTAACTGTATAATAAAGACTCCAATATTCTACATTTTAAAATGTGGCTTCTGGGATGATTTACTGTACAATACATGATCAGATAGATAGGTGTAATTTACTCTCCTCTTTTCTTAGGTAGAAATGAAATGGCTACAAATGATGGGAACAGAACTGAAGCTGTTGAGTTCTTCCTTATGGGATTCTCAGACTCTTTGCAGGATCAGATCACACATGGCATTTTATTTTTGCTAGTTTATCTGGCAGCTCTTACAGGGAACCTGCTCATCATCGTGCTTACCACTGTGGATATCCACCTGCAAACGCCAATGTACTTCTTTTTAAGAAATTTGTCTTTCTTAGATTTTTGCTATATTTCTGTCACTGTTCCTAAATCAATTGTCAATTCCTTTACTCATAATACTTTCATCTCTTTCTTTGAATGTGCTCTGCAAGTATTCTTTTTCATGGACTTGGCTTCCACTGAGACGGCCATTCTTACAGTGATGTCCTACGACCGCTATGTGGCCATCTGCCGGCCCTTACACTATGAGGTCATCATGAACCAAGGTGCCTGTGTCAAGATGATGACCATGTCGTGGCTCAGTGGCGCCATCTCTGGGTTCTTACATGTGACATCTACTTTCTCCTTACCATTCTGTGGGTCCTATACAATTCATCATTTTTTCTGTGATATTCCACAGCTGCTAAGCCTCTTGGACTCCAAAGTGATAATCAGTGAGATTAGAGTCATGGTTTTTATAACCAGTCTTGTGATAATCTGCTTTGTTTCAATTACTGTCTCGTATGTGTACATTTTCTCCACCATCTTGAGGATTCCATCCAAGGTGGGTAGATCAAAAACATTTTCCACCTGCATTCCACACCTTGTGGTGGTGACACTCTTTCTAGTATCTGGTAGCATTGCCTATGTGAAGCCAATTTCAAATTCCCCTTCCTTTGCAGACCTTCTCCTGCCTGTGTTCTACACAGTTGTACCTCCCACCCTGAATCCCATCATCTACAGTCTGAGGAATAAGGACATGAAGGCAGCTCTCAAAAGGCAGCTTGCTAAAGCAAATTGGGTCAGGGACTCATATTCATGATATTTTCTTCTAGCCAGGCAGTTGGAAAGCTTCCTGAGCGTAGATTTCCAACATACTGATGAGCCCTTTCCTCATTGTTAATTGGAAATTTTCTGTAGTCTAGAAATACTATGTTGGCATAAATCCAATCCTTTATTACAGTAGAAAATAATTTGGGTTGTGCAAAATATTAGACCTTATGAACAAATATTCATCTTAGCTGTTAAGTACTTCAATGTTTTATTAAGTTTACATTTCCTCTTTAAGTATTTTAGAGTAAAATTATACTTACATTAATTTTTATTTGGTATACATGTACTAATCCAGTAAAATAAGATTTATATATATAATAAAAACAACCAAATAAAAATAAACCATTAAGTGAAGTAAGCCAGGCTCAAAGAAATAAGGTCCCATGTTTTCCCTTGTCTGAAATAAATAGTATATGTTTGAGACAAGCAGAAAAGTCAGATAAGTTCATGTTAGGTGAAATGAACTCCAAGATAAGGACTCAAGTGGTTTTTCTTTCTTGCTATTGTTTCTAATGTATTTATAAGATGATTATTTTGTTGCTTTGTATGCCCCTCCCCCACGGTATAATCCCTGTTTTCACTGTATTTGATGTTGGTATAATTTGGGGAGGGAAAGGGAAAAACAAATTGTTTAAATAGGGAAACAGGTGGACTCATTGCAATAATTAAATGTACAAGATGCTATGTCCAAAAACAAACTTTCCAACTTTGGTAGGGAGGGGAAATCAGTGTAGTCCTGGAGATGGGAGGGCCCGGATGGTAAGGGAAAAACAAAGGAGGAGACAAACAACAATGCTTGATAAGAAATGTACTCATTACCTTGCTCATGTAATTGTAACCCCTCTGTATGGTATTTTCACAATAAAAAACTTATTAATAAAAAAATAAACCAATTGTAGTATGTACTTAGTTGTTTTCCATCATTGGAAAGTGTGATCAAATAGGCTGGGACCAAATCTTCTAAGCTCAATTATTAAACTTACATAGGAGGAAAATTTTATCTTCAATAGTCTGATAAAGAATCAGGGTTTATACTTTTTGAACATGAAGGTTCAGGTGAAAGATACTTGTTTTGATTTTTAATAAACATAATATTGTGTTCAGATAAAATGTTCTCTATATTTCTCTGCACTTTATTTCTCTAGAAAAGAACTTCTGCAAGTTATTGAGTGTCACTCCTAAAATGCTTTAAGGTATATTCTGGGTATTCACTTATACAATACAGAATATCATTGTTTGAATATGTAAAAGTTTATCTGACTAGTGCCCTTATTCTATATTTTTAAACTTTGTTTTAAATTTTATTTCTAATAGACAAATAATTGTATATGTTTATGGAGTATAGTATAATGTTTTTATAGATACTTAACCATGTAGAGTGATTAAATCAAGCTAATTAACATTTCCATAGCTTCTGATATTTATTATTTCTTTCTAGTAAGAGTATTTGGAATTTTATTTTCTCTATTTTGAAAGATACTGTATTAAATAACCATGCTGTGAAGTGCAATAGGTCATCACAAGTTACTCTTATTACTTAAATGTTATAACCTTTAGAAAAATCTTATTTTCCTCTCCTTTCTCTGGTTATCAATTCTCTATACTTTTGTGTTTGAATTTTTATAATTCCATATATAAATGAGATTATCATTCTGTTCTCTATGCCTGGCTTATTTCTGCCACCAAAATGTCCTGTGGGCGTTATGTGGAAAAACGAACTTTACAACTTTGACTGTATACAGTGGTGGGGGAGGGTTAGAGGCGAGGGGGAGGTGATTGGAAGGGATGGGAAGGGGAAACAAAGGAGGAGGCAACAGTGCTTTATAAGAAATGTACTCATTACCTTGCCCATGTAATTGTAACCCTTCTGTATGGTATTTTCACAATAAAAAAAAAGTAAAAGAAAAAAAGAAAAAAATGCCCTGTGGGTTTGCATATTTGTGTCATAAATTTCAGAATCTCCCACTTCTTCAAACTAAGTCATATTGCACTGTACATGTATAGCACTTTATTTGTGCAACTCATTTATCAGTAGGCTCCATAGATTATTTCTGCATCTAAGTTATCATGCATAAAGTTGCAATCGACATGAAAATTCATAAATCTACTGATTTAAATTCCTTTGGGTACATACCCAGAGTGTGATTCCCACTTTTAGTTTTTTTGGCTTTATGACTTGTATACATGGTAACCATTTTCTCCATCTATTCTCAATGGCATTATCTTGTATCTTTTTGATACTAGCCACTAGAATAGATATGAAGTAATATAATATCTAATTGTGCTTTCAGTTTGGACTTTGATGATGAGATTAGAGATGGAAGAAATTGGTTCATATAGATATATTTATATATACCTATATAAATATAATAATAAATATAAATATAATAAATATAAATAAATAAAATAATAAATATATAAATATAATGAATATATAACATATATTTAGATATATATTAAATATATATATTTAATTTTATTTATAACTATAAGTAGTTGTATGAACAAGTTGCCATTCAACAAAGTAGAATATGAACACATACTTTCCTCTTCCATCCTTCCCAACCCTATCCATTCCCTCAATTCTCTCTGTAGAAATGCATTGAATTTTATCAGTATATTCCCCCTTCCTCTCTTCATTCATCTACCCTCCCCCTCTTGGTCTCAGCCCCCTACTTCTAGTACACAATTCCAGGCATTTCTTTTTGAACTGTTAGTCTTCCTAAAAAAATATTGCTTAAGGTATCCCCGAATCTACCGTATTTCTATTAATACACTTACTTACATTTGGATACTACACCACAATGTGTGTGTGTGTGTGTGTGTGTGTGTGTGTGTATAATTCTAACTTCCACATATGAAGAAAACATTTATCCTATGTCTCTCTGCGCTTGACTTACTTCACTTAACATGTTTTTTTCCAGGTGTTTCCAGTATTTTGTTTAACATGGTCTTTGCTTTTGTCTTTGTAATTTGTGTACATTTTAGGATAGTTTTCTGTGGAAAAATAGTAGTTGCACTGACCATGCTGCACATACCTTGAATCCCAGCACTTAGAATACCGGAAGTAGGAGGATAATGCATATTGAGACCAGGCTACACCATGATCTCATATCTCAATAGAAACAACAAAAACACAAGAAAAACAGCCTTGGATTTTGAGAGAGAAAACAGGCTAGTATAATTGAGTAGCATAAATATTTTAATCAATAAGAAGTGATCTTTTCTCTGAGTAATTATGCTTTGTAGTCTGCCTAATGAGACGAGTATAGTTAATCCTTGTTTTCAGTTCCATTTTACTTCTCCTTTCACTGTAAGCCTCTACTTGGCTTTGCCAGTGTATTTCTGGTAACTAGCAAATGGTTGAGCCTTGTTTTAAAACCTACTCTGGCATTCTGTGTCTTTTCTTTGGAAAATTGAAATCATTAACATTTAGAGTTAGGTTAGGTATGCCTTGGGATGTTGATTTGGAATAGGAATAGGAGTAGGAATAAAGGCATCAATTGAAAGGAACTTGGAAAGGCAATGTTTGCTTCTGCAGATTGGTGTGCAAGCAGCCCAAAATCTGACAAGCACACAGAGCAGTGGCCTGTTCCCCTTTTATCTCTAATGCACTGGGCCCCGCCCCTCTGCTCAGATTGGCTGAGCTTAGGTTCACAATCTGCAACAGCATGTTTTAACTAAGGTACAGATTTCTTAAGGCATAACAGGAATGGTATTTAATTAAAGTACAACCCATGGGAGCCAACCATCTGGCCAACGCAGGAGCTTTTCATAAAAATAACACAAATTGACAGAAAGAAAGCAATACTCCTTGATAGTAAAGATGGCTTTTCTCACATAATAAGCCTTCGTGTCTTCAATATTCAGAGTGGTTACCATTGAAAAGTATGCAGTAATGCATACAATTTTGACTTTTAAAAATTTGTTGTGTTTTATTCTTTCCTAAAGTTCATTTGTTTATCTACTCATCTGGTGATAATCACTTTTGCCTATTTTCCCAGTGTTTGCCTCTTCTTCCCCACATAGAATCCTTCCGGTATATACTGCAGTGTTGGCTTAGTGGTCACAAATTCCTTTTCTTTCTGTTTATCACAGAGGGTCTTATTTCTTTTTCAATTATGAAGGATAGCTTGTGTGTGTTGTAATGTAGATGGTTTTTATTTTTTTGTTTCAGGCCTGGCCCCATTGCTCATTTAAAATTTTTTTGTGTGTTTTATTATTGTAAAAATACTGTACGGAAGGGTTACAGTGACACCATTGCTCATTTTTATAACTATTTTGTGAACTGAGATTTCATTTCCTTCACTAATGTTGTTGTCCTTTACTGTATAGTTGTTGACTTTTGGACTCATGTTGTCTAGATTTTTCATATTTCTTGTGCTTGTCCATTAGGAGTGAATCTGTGTTCAAATTTTGGGGAAGTGTTCTTAGTGTTCAGGGCAGGCCTGTGTGGGGCAGAATTGGTGTGTAGTGTCTTATCATTGGACTAAGGGTTAGCTTAGTAGCTAAACTTTCACCTACGTGCTTAGGCATGTAAGTGATCTTCAGCCCCATTCAGAGACAGGAAAACCAACTGGAAAGCTTCTTGTAGCATCTAGTGTATGAGTTGATGTTGGAAGTTGGAGGTGGGGCCAGTACAGGTCAATGTCTGCTTCCATGCTTCTTTTTCCCTAGAAGTTTCTCATAGTCATTTATTGGAGTTCAGGGTGGGCCACAAAGCAGTTTTGAAGTCTGTGGACTAGACAGGATCCTACATGATGCATAGACCCCATGTCTGTATCTTTAGTATCACAAGCATTCCAGCTTAGGGGTATCCCTTGAATGTCCCAGATAGTAGGGGAGCAAATAGAGCATTGAGTCCTGATCTGGTGGTAGAGAACTGAGGGACTTAGGTAATCTGAGTGACCTGTCAAGCATTTCACTGCTCTGTTGGATGGAGAGGGATGGTGGAAATAACCTGATCCTCAAGTCCTGTACTTAACAGCTCTCATCTCCACATCTCAACAACCATCCACAGCTCACCTCCAGCTCTTGGAGGCTGGGCATCTGCCAGCATCTTGTATCCTTAGCTTTTCTTGTAATCTTCAGGCAGTAAGGCCACAAACCACTGCATTTCATTTTTGAACCTTCCTAGTGTATCTCAGGAGGAGCACATTAGTCTGCTTGTCCAAAGATACCTTCTGTGGCTATCTCCTGCCAGACACAATAGCCACCCTCAGCTGTGGTTGTTCCTTCAAGTCCTCCAGCTTAGTCCCAAACCCCAACTGGCAGTACCCTGCAGCCAGTTGGCTCCAGGAATTGGAGAACTCTGACAGCCAAGGGGTAATTGTTCTGTTTCCGTGGTGAACCTTGGACCATGGGACTTGTTCTTTGCCAGGGAGGATAGGGCAATTGGCTACCTCAAGCTTCACTGCCCATGGTTCCTGTTCCTTAAACTCAGCAAATCCACGTCAGACCCTCTTCTCCTCCAGGATAGCCTCGTGTGGTTGTGTTTTTAAAAAATTTTATTGTCAAGGTGATTAACTGGGGGGTTACAGTTACATAAGTAAGGTGACGGAGGTACATTTCTGTTACCTCTTTCTGGACACTGTCACTAGGCATCTCACGACTTCTTGAGTCAAGTTTGTTATTTGTTTTCAGATCTTTCAAGACCTCAGATTCAACATGGTGCCTTAGATTCAACATTAGGAGCAAAATAAAGTATCTCGTGATGTGCTATTTTGTAAACAAGGAGAGTTACTTTCCACCAACAGTGAGCATAGATCTTGTAGGAGATCTAGAATTGCCTCAATGTTGGTCTAGAGCTGTATCCTGTTTTCTAATTTACCTTCTCACCTTTCTATTTCCTCATGATTTTTGGTTCTCCCATTCCTCAATCGCAATTTGGTGCATCTATATGAGGGAGCAGATTCAGATACTTATTATTTCTGACATTTGTTACTTACAAGTATCTATACAGTGTGTGTGTGTGTGTGTGTGTGTGTGTGTGTGTGTGAATTACTGGGTCTTGAACTCAAGGGCCATGCTGCTGTCCTTTAGCTTCTTTGCTCAAGGCTGGCACTTTGCACTTGAGCCACAGGTATATTGTTGGCTTTTTGGTGGTTAATTGGAGATAAGAATCTCATGGACTTTCCCGCCTGGGTTGGTTTCAAACCATGAACCTCAGATCCTGGCTTGCCCATAAGTTCTTGAATCAAATTGATAGTTTTCAAAGCAAAGCTGATTCGATTTTCATTATACCTGAGTAACATATGCATAGTTTAATTTGAAAAGGCATATGATATTGACAACTTTGAGGCATTCAACACAAGAAAATAATCTTAAATTTCAATATGTTCACATCTTATTTAATTTTCTGCTTCTCTTTTTTTTCTTTTACAGTAGTAAAAGTTGTAAATCTGGGATTGATTGCTAGACTTCAAAATAAATCTGAAAGAAAGCATTTCAAAACTAATTGTGCTTTCACTTTGAATGTGAACACATCCAAGTCATTCCTTTATACCATGTCTTCTTTGATTACTTCCTTCAGGGATTTATAGTTTTCATTATAGAGGTGTTTCTCCTGTTGAAAGTTTATTCCTAGGTATTAATGGTTTGAATGGAGTTGTTTCTCTGATTTCAATTTCATCTTGTTCATTGTTCAGATACAAAAAAAGTGCTGAATTTTGTGTGTTATTATATATGTAGATATACAACAGAATATGTTGATATACATAGAACATATTTTAAGTTTAATTATTTATACAGGCATATAAAATTCATATTAAATTTATGTGTGTATGTTGTTTGGGTACAGGATTATCCTATGTAGCCATGTTGCCCTAGGATTCACTATCTTCCTATCACAGTTACAGTGCTGAGATTGCAGGAGTATGCCATCAGATCTGGCTTAGTTTATGTTTTGCAAACTATTTGGTAAGGAGACAAAGAGCAAATAGTATAATTTTTTGAGTCATGGGAGATTCACTGGAATTATTCAAGGCTTTGCCACTGTTAAACTTTGTGTGGTTTATTGGATTGGGACATATATCTTCGGAAAATAAAGAAAATAATGAAAACAGTTTGGATGTTCCCTTAAAATGTTACCTTATAGTCTAGCCACCCTATATAGAGGTGTTTATCCAGAAACTAAAAAGATTCCTTTTTAGTTTTTGTTAGTACTTGTGATTAAGCTGAAGGCCTTGAGATTCCTAAGGAAGTGCTCTACCACTTGAACCAAACCCTTTTCCCTTTTAGGTCTATTTTTCTTGTTTTGGTTTGTATACCAAATGGTTTTCCATTGGTCTTACACAGATTTTTCACTTTTGCCCAGATGGGCCTTGGATCATGATTACAAAATAGCAGAGATTTCAGGCTGAAATCAGGATCTTGAAGAGATTTTAGTATTCTCATGCTCATTGAATCATTTTTCACACTAGTCCTATTACCATTTTAGCATGCATACATATAACCTCATTTCTCATATTTATTTAAAAAACTCTTAAAGTAATAAAAATAATGAATCTTTGCAACAAAGTAATTATTTCTTATATAACTAGATATCTAGCATAAAATTCAGCATTAATTGTGTTGTGTAAGTTGGAATAATGAACACACTTTATGTTGAACTGGCTAATACTGGCAGAAAATAAAGTTAACAAAATTAGTACAGCTTGTGTCACAAAGTATTGTAAATATATTCAATTTTTTAAACTGTGAACAAATTGTAAACACATCAGTTCTTCATTTGGGAAAGCAGGAATCAAACTGTGACAAGTTAAAATGCACCTTCTTCAATCATTGGAAAAGTGCTCAAATAAGAACAAGCAATTCAGTTATGGTGGCAGCCTGATTTTAAATTCTATATTAGTATAATTTGACTTCTATTCTAACAATAAATAGGTATTTCATATGGATTTTTATGCACACATGGGTTGAATTACTAACTACTGGATATTTGGGGTGAACTAATTAGAGAAGGCCTTGTAGGAATTCTTTCAAAAATTAGGTCCAGGGAGAGCTACCCTAGCCACTCTGGCTGGTCTAAAGTCTAGGGAATAATCTCTAATCTCCCTTTTAGGATTATAATTTTTTTTAGCCCGTTACTAATTTAAATAACAGAGCTTAAATTATAGATGCTATTCATGTGTGTGAATGGTGGCTTAATCACACATTGCTGTTGCATATGAAGGAAAATATCAGAGTATTTTTAGGGTAATTAAACAGCTTCTTAGGATGAATCTTGGGATATTCATCTCAGACAAAGTTCTATCAATTTAAGAGAGGTCTGAGTGAGTTTATTTCAGCACTGATTTCTTTCTGCTTTTATATATGAATCTGTGCTTCCAGGTCTAACTACTGTCTCTAACTTTTGTTCATGATTTACTTTTATCGCTGGAAATGTTCTTGATCTGATCCACAGTCCCATCTCTATCCATCCTTCAATGTATTTTTCTCTTTTAAAAATATTCTGATTTTCTTATTCATTTTATTCTTTTTTCCCCTAGGTATATCTACAGATAAGTTTAGAACAACGATTAAATCACCTAGGTAACACTCCAGTTTTGGTAAAAAAAAAAAAACCCAAACATAGCTTTGAAAATTGCTTTACCTCTTCAAATGTTGACATTTTGTGAGGCAAAAGTTTAACAATATATGCTTAACAATACCTGCATTTATTTTCAGATTTTTGAGAAATATAATAGGTAAGTTCATTCCATAGCATACAGAATCCATTTTAGTGTGGATATTCATGTTATAATATTTTTAATTCAAATATCCATTTTAACTAATATTTTTAAAGATAATCTTGTAAGTTTTGATTAATACAGTTGATTTTCACTGTTTTTTATGCATGTGAGAGTGAAGAGAGATACAAAAGAGAAAGAGAAAGAAAAAGAAAAAACTAAGAATTCAATAGTTAAAGTTTATTTCTTTTACATATAGTTTTAATCTATAACAAAGTTCTACCTACTTGTTTAGTAATGCTGCCTTTGGGTAATATGTAAAGCTACAACAAAATAAACTAAAAAAGCTATAAAAGATATAGAACAAATATGGATAAGGTGGAGTTTAATCCAAGATGACAGCTACATTCAGTGGGCTACACATTCTAAACATATGTAGTCATTAATGAAAGCTACAATGAATGTTATATAATTTGTTGCACTCTTTGAAGAGTTTCTCCAAATGCCATAATTATTTGGCTATGTAGACAGAGTTTTTCATAAACATGCATGTTTTCTCCAGCTGTAGTCTGTAACCTTTCAATCAATGACAGTCCTTCCCATTCTTTATGTGGTAACTTAGAAATTTCCTTCATCAATATCTGTCTTCAAAAATTTTCATTGTTCTTTTAATTTGCATGGAATCTATATGCTACAATAACCTCTGAGACAAGTGTGTGTGTGTATGTGTGTGTGTGTGTGTGTGTGTGTATAGCAGTAGTTGTAGTAGTCATAGTAGTAGTAATGTGTATAGTAAATATTCTCATGTCCTTATTATAAAAGGAAATCTACATGCTGATAGGCATAGAAATTATTTACCCAACTATCTATAGTCCTGGGAGGGAAAGCTGGAATATATCCTTCCTTTACAGCTCTCCAGAATAATGAACCCTGCCCCACACTTGGTTTTTGGACTTCTGGCTTCCAAAACTGTAAGAAATATATTTGCATTTTTTAAACCAACCACTATGGGCTACTTTGTTATGAAAATCTTACCAAACTGATCCAGTGACATTTCCTAAAATTCATAATTTGTAGTACTTTACAAATCATATGGAGATTAGAAGAGTAGAAATTCTGTTAGTTTTTGACCATATAGTATCTTAGGAAAATATGATGATAAGGTCAGAGATGGGCTCAAATCTTAACTCCTAGGTACACAGCAGACAAAGATCAGTAGGATCACAATTCCTTAGCTTGTGCAAAAAGTTAGCAATACCCTATCTACACCAACAGGCAATGGCGATGAGGGAGGCAATGGAAAGCAGGATATAGTTCTTGATGCCAGCCCATCCAAAATGTTAGGGCTTATCTGGAAAATCACTAAAGCAATTAAGAGCAAGGAATTCAGTTTAAGTAGTAGAGCATCAGTATAGCAAGTATGAGGCCTTAAATTTAAGCCTAGTGATATATATAATTTTTTTCAAAATTAAAGTATGCTTAAATGATTTTTAACATTATTATTTTCTCATTTCCTGTAATAATCACTAATATTTTATATATAAAGACTGATAGATGCCAGACATGATAATACAAGTTTTCAAACCTAGCTACTAAAAGGTAGAGACAGAGGATGGTGAATTGGAGGCCAGCTTACGCAAAGTTAGTAAGATTATATTGCATAAACAATATATGAAAAAATGGAGCTGGTAGCTCACGCCTGAAGAGATATGAGGAGGCTGAGATCTGAAGACCCCAGTTTGGAGTCTTCCCCAGCCTGGGAGAACAAATCTATGACTCTTACCTCCAGTTAACCAGCAAAAAAACAAAAGTAGAGGTGTGGCAAGAAAGGGAAAAAGCCAAGCAAGACTGCAAGACCCTGAGTTCTAGCCCCACAATTGGCACAGATAAAGAAATGAATAGAGGAAGGAAAGAAGGACAAACAAACTAGGTGTGTGAGCATTCCGATGAAAATTAATACCTTAATCCATCTCCTAAGCAACATCAATACACCTTAGTGAATATAACATTTGATTTGTAGATAATTACCAAATGAATAAGACTATCCTTTGAATTCAGTATGATTACTATTCAAAAGAGTACATGCTTATTCATTGATCTAGAATCTGTTAACTCTCAGACAGTGAAGGAGCAGGAGAGAAAGCAAAGCAAAACAAGGGCCAAATGCATGAGAATGGTGAATTATGATTGGCATCAGAGCTACTTCCCTGCTCCTCTACGGACCACCTTGTGACTTTCTTTTACACTGCCTTTCTCAAATACCATCAGTCCTTTTGAATGCTATTGGCTTCGCTCTGCAATTTAGAAAGGAAAATGAAAAATGAGACCACTGTAACTGAATTTATTCTTAAGGGCTTCTCAGATATGCCCGAAATGAAGCTTATTAGCACCTTCTTTTTCCTTTTCATCTACCTCTTTGCTGTCTTGGGAAATATCTCCATCATTGCAGCTGTGACTCTAGACAGCCGCCTCCACACGCCCATGTACTTCTTTCTAAAAAATCTGTCCTTCTTGGACATGTGCTACACCTCGGTCACTGTCCCCAAGGCACTGGCCAATTCTCTAATGGGCTCTGAGGCCATTTCCTTTGGGGAGTGTGTGGCTCAGCTCTTTCTGTTTGTAATGATGTGTGCCTCTGAGTGCTTCTTGCTCACATCTATGGCATATGACCGCTGTTTAGCCATCCATAGACCTCTCCTCTATGGGGTCATTATGAGCAGGAAGCTGTGCACAGAGCTTGTCATGGTGGCCTGGCTGAGTGGAGCTCTCTATGCCATCTTCCACACTGCCAACACCTTCTCTCTCCTTTTCTGTGGGCCCAATGTCATTGACCACTTCTTCTGTGACAGCTCCCCCATCATGAGACTCTCCTGCAGTGACTCTCACATGAATGAGGAGGTTGGGTTTGCCGTGGGTGGCTGCATTATCCTCAGTGCTTTCACCCTCACCATCATCTCCTATGTTCTCATCATCTCTACCATTGCTCAGATTCACTCAGCCAGTGGTCGTCAGAAGGCATTCTCCACCTGCTCTTCTCACCTTGCTACCGTTGTTCTGTTTTACGTCACTGGAAGCTTTGCTTACCTGAGGCCCTCTTCCCAGTACTCTCCCACTCAAGGGCGGGTAGTATCCATCTTTTACTCTGTCCTCACACCCAGCTTGAATCCCCTTGTGTACTGTCTGAGGAACAGAGACATGCAGATGGCCCTGAAGAAAGTGTTTGTTCTATCCAAGTAGATGTATTTTCCTGTGTGGAGCACATGGCTCTGGATGGTGCCTGTACTAGTTTGTTTATGCAAATTGCTCTTTCAATGAAGAGACCACTATAGTGTACCTCCCATGTAACATTGCAATAAACTATAAATTGTCATCTATTGTGGAGTTTCTTTCACCAGTTAGGCATTTTCATCACTTCTGTTCCATAACTAGTTTGTCTTGGACAAAGATAAAGTGTGGAGCCATACTATCTAGTCTATTTGGATTTTCCTTGTAAATCTGACAGGCAAAGAAGAGCAATTTGTCTATCATCTCAGTATCTCTGTACAGACAGAGGAAAGGCACTCTTTTTATGTCCTACTTTAGAAAGGCCAAGATTTCTTGATGGCTGGTTCCTGGGGAAATATGTAGACACACTCATAACTTGAGAATGAAAACTTTCATTACTTAAAAGACATAATTAGTGTCCACAGCCAACATACACTTGTGTTTTGGATATTCACTGAACATTAAATGTACTCCTGCATAAACCAAGTTGCTGGGATGAAAATGTAGGAAAGCTTCCTAGTATATAGACATGAAAATGACAGAATTGGAATATTTTAAAGAGCCTGACAGAATTAGGATATTTTAAAGAGGTCAAACAAATATTACCATTGTTTAGGTAGATATAGATTTGTTACTATGCATACATTAAGTAAAGCATGTATTTAATTTTTTCACATTTGCAAAATAAAATTTACACATATTACAATGTTCAAGATTTTGAAGCTGTAGAAATGAGAGTTACTTTTTAAAAATTTTTTTTGTTGTGAAAATACTGTATAGAGAGGTTACAATTACATGGGCAAGATAGTGAGTACATTTCTTTTTTTTTAATTTTAATTTTAATTTTTTGTGAACATACTGTACAGAGGGGTTACAATTACATGGGCAAGATAATGAGTACATTTCTTATCAAGCATTGCAGCCTCCTCCTTTGTTTACCCTTGACATCCGTGAGTATATTTCTTATCACGCATTGTAGCCTCCTCCTTTGTTTCCCCTTCGCATCCTCCTCCACCCCCTCACTAAATCCTCTCTCCTCCCCCCCATCATAGTTGTAAAGTTCCTTTTTTGACATAACGACTTGTACATCTCATTGTTGCAATGGGTCCACCTGTATCCCTATTTAAACGATTTGTTTTTTCCCTTCCCCTCCACAAATTATACCAACATCAAATATAGTGAAAACAGGGGTTATACCGTGGGGGAGGGACATACAAAGCAGCAAAGAAATTATAAATATGTTAGAAATAATCGCATGAAAGAAAAAAAAACATTTAAATACATATCTTAGGGTTCATTTCCCTAACATCAACTTATCTGACCTTTTCTGCTTGACTCAGACATATACTAGTTATTGCAAATAAGAGAAACCAGGGGCTGGGAAGGTGGCTCAGTGGTAGAGCGCTCGCCTTGCATGCATGAGGCCCTGGGTTCGGTTCCCCAGCACCACATAAGCAAAAAGAAAAAGCCGGAAGTGGCGCTGTGGCTCAAGTGGTAGAGCACTAGCCTTGAGCTAAAAGAGCTGAGGGACAGCGCCCAGGCCCAGAGTTCAGGCCCCATGACTGGACCCCTCCCCCCCAAAAAAAAGAGAAACCATGGGACTTATGTTTCTTTGGGACTGGCTTACTTCACTTAATTTTTTCCAAGTCTTTCCATTTCCTAACAAATGGGGCAATGTCATTCTTTCTGATGGAGGCATACCAGTGACTATGTTTATTGCAGCATTATTTACCATAGCTAAGATATGGAACCAACCCAGATGCCCCTCAGTAAATGAATGGATTAAGAAAATGTGGTATATATACACAATGAGATTTACTTTTGCCTGCTTTTGATAAGACACATGTTACACACATGAAAATACATCAAGTTGTACATGTGCATATTTTGCTATTCAATTACACCTCAAAGGAATGGGCAAAAAGGATCTGACCTATCTTAAAAATAACAAAATTTTTCAGAAAAATTGAATTTAACAGACATGTCAGGAATACATTTATTTTTCAGAAAAGCACAATACACATTATAGTCTCAATTACAAATGGAACATTTTCTGTGATGAACAACATTAGGCCACAAAAGTCTTAATAAAGTAAAAAGAATTCAAACAATAAAAAGCATCCTTTCGGCTGGGTGCCGGGGACTCACACCTGTAATCCTAGCTGCTTAGGAGGCTGAGATCTGAGGATCAAGCCAGCTTGGTCAGGAAAGTCCAGGAGACTCTTATCTCTAATAAACCACCAGAAAACTGGAAATGGTGCTGTGTCTCGAGTGGTAGAGTGCTTGCCTTGAGCTCAAGAGCTCAGGAACAGTGTCCAGGCCCAAAGTTCAAGCCCCATGACCAAAAAAAAAATATCCCTTCAATAATAATAGAATGAAACTAGAAATACTGGAAATTCTGCCAATATATAAAAATTTAATAGCATTTAAAAATGAATCAAAGAGGAAATCATAAGGGACATGGCAAAATGTTGAGGTGAATTAGAAAGTAAATGAAATAAATCTAAAGCAATGGTTTTCAAATAAAGTAGGATTAAGAGGGAAAGTCATAGTTGTAAATGCTTATAAAAAAGAACAAAGATCTCAATTTAGCAACCTAATGTTTTAAATAAAACATTTCTAAAAAGAAGAGGAGATTCTATATAACTGGATTCTCAAATAGTTCAAAGGTATAATAACCAAAGTCATGTGGTACTAGCACAAATATGGGAACATAGGACAAGAATGCAATAAAGAACCCAGATAAATATCCTCCTGCATTTGGTCAAGTGATTTATTGAAGAATGTCAAGCCCACAATATGGGGAAAGAACCATCTAAAGTTCAAATTTGTTTTACTTTTTAAATTATAGTTGAAATTTATGGAAATTATAAAAAAGTTTTAAATATTGATCCACCTTGATGCGATATGCATGTGCAAAATACTAAATTGGTTATAATGTATTATACAGATAATCAGTCAAAACATGGATTTGAAACCTTAAACTTCTTGAACAAACGGAAAGCATGGGCAACATAAGCAAAAATTCACAAATGATATTACATTAGATTAAAAACTTCCTTTGCATAAAGGGAAATTATGAATGATGTTAAAAGACAAGTAACAGAACGGAGAACATATTTAGAAAATATTCAAAAACTGTGTGGTAATCAAAATATTTAAGGAGCTCTTTCAACTAAATAGATATAGAGAAATATGATGTAAAAAAAGGCAGATGATGAGAACAGACATGGTATCCAAACACATCACTATTTGCATCTTTTAGTGCGGGTATTAATAAATTTACATGTGTTTATATGTAAATAATTCATATAATTTATACAATATATGCTATATATTGCATGTTTATATTAATAGATATTATATAGCATATTATAATTGTACATATACTATAAATATTATATAATAATTACACACACATGAATATATAATTAATTAAGATATGTTACTAATTATATACCAATACACATAATTAATTATAAAATTATATATTATATATTACATGTTGTATAATATATATATTAGGTAGGTCCCAGAGGTCATGCCTGTAATCCTAGCTACTCAGAAGGCTGAGATTTGAGGATCATGGTTCAAAAAGTCCCTGTGAGATACTTATCTCCAATTTACCACTCAAAACAGTGGAGCTGTGGCTCAAGTGGTAGAATGTTAGCCTTGAGCACAGAGGGGCTCAGGGACATTGCTCAGGCCCTGAATTCAAGTCCCATGACCATCACTACCACCAACAAATATATATATATATATATAATATGTTAATTATTAATCAACACAATTATATATTAATATATGAAGCATTCATATGGTAATATAGAGATGTCATAATTATATCAACATAATTACATTAATATATTAATACACTGATACAAGTATATTCATAAAACATATGTATAATTATATGTTAACATAATTAATTATATAACATATACTATTGCATATTGATATAATTATAATTACATATGAATTATATTCTAGTTTAATATGCATCTATTATACAATAATATAATTAATTGATTAATTGCAATATATTATAAAGAAATAATTTATAATAGCATGTATCATAGAAATATTTTGACAGAATAGACTAGACATTTGTCAAAAAGATATAATTCTTTGCACCTTTTAGTATGGGTATTAATAAATATAAATGTGTATATATAAGTATATGTAAGTTGACCAAAGGATTTTTTCCAAGCAAAAGAAAAACAGATTGTTTGATAGGTGTTTGATAGACTCATCTTTTTTGATAATGATTTGATTGGAGGCAGATACAAAGTTAATATTTAAAGATGAAAGCACATAAAGAGTAGAAAAGAACTTTATCTTGGGTTAGCATAAATGTCAAAAACCAGATAAAAATATAGAACATGTAGTTCAAAGAATTTCCTGCATTGAATTAAAATTTCTCTCTTCAACAAAGGACAATAGGCAAATGGAAAATATAAGTAGAAAAACAGGAGATCGTTTTTCTAGTTCCAAACTTACAAAGAATAAATACAATCAGAAACATCAGATTGGAACAGAATATTTTTTAATATCAATGAGAAAATTCTCACATTTGTCAATTATAAGAAACTCAATTTAGTAGTAACCGACAAATGCAGGTTACATATAATAAGATACAATTTAATGGACATAAGATGCCAAGAATTGGAAAGCTGGGGCTGCCTAAGCTATGGCAAAGATCGGGTGTAAGTTCCATGTTGCTCATTGTGAGAGTATAAATAACTGAAGTTATTTTTAAAGATAATATTTTTACATATAACTGCTGTATTTGTATGTGTGTAATACATGTGTATCTACTTATATAATGCTGATTTAATAAAATTTTTCATTAAGTAAATTTGATGATATATTTTAATTGGTTTCACTCTTAGCCATTTTATTGCCCATCTATAACCTAATAGCATTCCTCAAATATACTCCCTAAAATTTACTTTAAAAGTCTCTCTTTGCAAATAAGGGAAACCACGGGACCTATGTTTCTTTGGGCAAATATCATTTTATCTGATTATGTGCACCTAACTATTGAGCCTTGGTGATCTTCTTCTAAGAATATCCTCCTTGGTCTCACAGTGTGAATGTATAATGTTCTGAATAATTTGACATGTCCAAGTATATGTTTTGTCTTTTACCATTAGTGTGTTTACTTATAGACTTATAGTCACATTCTAGTTACAGCAAATGAGGGAAACCATGCAACTATGCTTTCTGCAGGTCTGGCTTACTTTGCTTAATATAAGTATTTTTCCCCAAGATCTCCAAGAAATGGAAACTAGAGCCTTTTCATTGTTTTGCTTTCCCCCCTTCCTTCATCACTGTTTTTTATTTCTACACCTTTTGTCTCATATGTAAGTTTAGCTGCTGGGGGAAGGTGTGGAGAGCATAGAAGTGGTGGGACACAAAGCAAGCAAAGGCATCAGTAATGCGCACTAGATAATATGTTGAAAATGACCTTTAGAACTTGTTTGGGGGGGCGTTCAGTAGTGAAAAACTGGGAGGCAACATGAGAACAGGCGATACTGTTCCAAAAGAAATATACTCATTACCTGACTTTTATAACGGTAACCTCTCTGTATATCATCTTTACAATAACAATAAAACATTTTATTTTTTTGTCCTGTCTTTTTTGGTACTGGGGATCGAACCCAGGACGTTGCACTTGCTAGGCAAGCGCTTTGCCACTGAGCTACATCCCAGCCCAATAAAACATTTTAATAAACTGTGATTTGGAAGGTTTGGAAGGATAAGGTTATCCATGACTTAGAGAATAAATAAATGAAATGTAGTATGTAGATAAAATGAAATGGTTAAAAGAAATGACAATATTCACTTTTAAGAGACTTTCAGTGTTCTGTTTGAGTTAGACAAAAGAAATAAAACACATTAGCTTTCAGTTATGGTAATATTTATTAGAAGGAATCAATAACATAAATCTATGTATGCACATAGCTATATTCCATATGGATTGAGCTTTATGTAACAATTATATTTGATGTAGAGTGCTTGTGAATTTTGTCCATGGTCCCAAATCTTGACTGTCATAGTTATTAGTGTTTAATGACTACAGGAACCAATGAATATGTACGCAGAAGATTGAATTTATTATGTATAATCTGTAGACATAATGAAGTTGAAAAATCTTTTATGAGTATAAATTCCTTTATTGAAATGTAGATCTGCAAATGTGTATCAAGTCAGCATTATTCAAACTATAATTGCATATTGGGTTCTGAGAGTCAGGTGAGTAAAATTTCTTTTTTCTTTCTGGTAGGACTCATACTGTGTCTAATCAAATCTGATTCTTTCCCTACCTGCCTTTATTATTAGATTCCACCATCCTGACTTTAGGATGCCTTTTATCTCCCCTGTCATATCCTCCTCTCCATATTCCAGTATAGGGACTTCAGTAGCTGAATTCCACCACCTTGATTTCATTATGATTATTCAGAGTCTATCTGCATGATTTATGCTCATCTTAAAAGTGTTACAGCTCCATATCTGTTTCTTTTAGGTGTTATGTATTATTTATATTAGTTTTTAAAATGATCATAGGACAGATATCTGTGTACATGTGTATACATCAGTTCTCTGCTTTCTTTGAGCTAATCACTTTGGCTAGAGCGCACTTCTGTAATAGAGTTTATTTTATGCCTGGGATGGATAAGAATGAATTTGTTCATAGCAGTGTTTCCCTGTGATTATCTAATATAACTGCATTTTGTATATCATTGAAATAATGTGTAGAAATAATAAATAAAAGGTCATACATATGATAATATGTGTAACATATACACACATAAATTACTGTTTAATCCAAATATAAGCACTAAAGAACAATACTTTAATTATGTTTTAAAAAGAAGTTACTGCAAAAAGTTGTATAAATATATATGAGGATAAATTTAGACTACAATGTAAAAAAAAGAAAGAAGTTAGTGCATATCTTTAAAGTTAGATACAATTGAACTTTCATCCTGTGTATATATCTAGTTAGTGTACATGGGGAACAAATATTTATCTTTCAAGACCTTTTCTTAATTAAAACATATGATCCTAAAAAGGTGGGTAGAAGACATAAAACTCATTTATTCAAACTAGATTCTGTTTACATGATTAACTATGACTAATTTATTTATTTTCTGTTTTATCTGTCAAAGTGACCAAATGACTCTCTCTCATTTTGTAGTAATTCAATGTAAAATTGTTCTTTCTACATTGATTCCTGATGTACTAACTTGGAATCAAATAGCAAAAGTTCTCCCTATTTAGAAAGATCTATTAAACATTCTTCCCACAGCACTTTTAATCTCTCTGTTTCTCAGACTAAAGATGATGGGGTTAATGAAAGGGGGTACCATAGTGTAAAACATGGCTGTGAGAAGGGACTGAATGGTGGATGTATGAGAGACAGGGCTCAAACAAGCAAACAGTGAAGAAATCACAAATAGAATAAAAGTAGCTATCTGGGGTGAGCAGGTTGACAGGGCTTTGTTTCGGGCTTCTGATGAACACATCTGGAGCACCGTTGAAAAGATATTTACATATGACATGACTAAAATGATAGTAAAGAATAAAACAATGCAAGCACTCACACCTAGGGCTACAAACTCAGAAAACTGCACAGCCTGGGAGGAGATGCTCATGACTTGAGGTACATCACAGAAATATTGGTGGATCACATTGGACTTGGTGAAAGGAAGTCTGAATATGGTGCCTGTGTGGAGAGCAGAATAGAGTAGGCCACTGGCCCATGAGCCACCTGCTGCCTGCATGCACCGACGAGAGGTCATGGTGAGCCCGTAGTGCAAAGGGTGGCAAATGGCCACATAGCGGTCATAGGACATGACCACTAGGAAAAACAACTCTGTGGATCCAAAGAAGATGAATAGGAAAGTTTGTGTGGCACATGCTGGGAGAGAAATCCATTTCTTTCCTGTCAGAGAATTGATGACTGAATTGGGAACGGTAACAGAAATATAACCAAAATCTATCAAGGATAAATTGCCTATGAAGAAAAACATTGGAAAGTGAAGTCGTGGGTCCAGCACAATGATGACAATGGTCAGAAGATTCCCAGCTAGGGCTCCCACATAAATCATTAAGAATAGCAAACCTTGCAAGATGTGAAGATCTCGGGAGCTTGTGATATCCATGAGGAGAAATTCTGTGATGATCGTGATATTGTCCATGTCTGCTAGTATGCTGTGGTCCATGGATCACGATGACACTGAAAACAAAACAGAGTGAAAGCAGTACTACCCTATATTGAAATAAAAACTAGACTCAAGTCCGTTTGTTGAGTAAAGATGGGTAGACCCCATATACAACTGTAATTGAATGTAATATTCTTGTGAAGAATCAAGTGGTAGCATGTGTGGCTGAATGGTAGGCTTAGTGGGCTAGCTCAGTGTGTGCAAGTTCTCAGGACTGCAAAAAATTATAGAAAAAAGAATCATGAGATAGGGAAACATGAAAATGCTAATGACAATGAATGTCATCGGTATGCCTTGGAAAATTTCGAGCATTTTCCAATGAGAAATTACAAATAATTTTCACAAAGGAATGCACAGGATCAAAACCAGACATACCTGAAGGTGGAGATCTAATACTGCTCTGTATATCAGGATCTTCCACAAAGGTATAGCACTACGGGAGCAATAAATCTACGTTTAATTCTCTTCACATAACATGACACAGAGAGGCCTTTTGCAGAGCACTATTTTTATTCACTGAATAAGGAAGTATGATTTGGTCTTCACTCTTTGCTTTGTGATTTCTTTTTGAGGGCATTATTGTCCCTGGATCTCTAAAAAACCTTATGGGATTTGGTCATCAAGGTCTTCTGAAGATCTGAGAGTCCTTCCATGACTTGTCTCCACAGACTTCTTTTGACCAACCCACTGAGACTAATTACATTGATGATAGTTATTATTATTATTCTATTGTTATTATAGAAGTGATCTACAGTGAGCTTCACTGCTGTACATTTTACCCTTTACCTTTGAGTTCTGTCCCCTCCCCCAACACTGAAGATGTTCATTTGAATATCATATATGTACATTTGAATACCACATGTATAACTTAAAGAAGACAGAACCATCAAAAACTAAAAACTGAAAAAATGAAAGAAATATTGTTAATGTGATATATAATACTAGTGGATTTCTTTTTTTTCCCCTTTGTGCTGGTCCTGGGGCATGAACTCAAAGCATGGGCACTGTCCCTGAGCTTTTGTGCTCAAGGCTAGTGCTTTACCACTGAACAAAAACCTACTTCCAGATTTTTTAAAATATGTTTTTATTATAAAGATACTGTCCAGAGGGGTTACAGTTACATGAGTAAGGTAATGAGTACATTTCCTATCAAGCATTGTTACCCCTCCTTTGTTTTTCCCCTACTACCCTCCCCTTCCCACCTCTCCAATTCCTCACTCCCCCCTCCCCTCTCCCCAAGTTGTAAAGTTCGTTTTCAACATAGTGTCTTGTATGTCTCATTGTTACAATGGGTCAACCTGTATCCTTGTTTCAGCATTTTGTTATTTCCCTTCCCCTCCCCAAATTAGAAAGAAGGTATATATACAAGATTCAGGGCACCAGACCCAAATACAGTGACAACAAGGGTTATACCATTGGGGAAGAACATACGAAAGAAACAAAAAAATCACATAGTATATTAAAATAACAGCAACAAAATAAAATCCTCTTGTGTCCATAAAGTGTATGGAAAAAGTCCAGACTTTTTCTGGTTAATTGGAGACAAAAGTCTCACAGACTTTCCTGCCCAAGTTGTCTTTGAACCAAGATAGTCAGATCTCAGTTGCCTGAGTAGCTAGAATTACAGGTATGAGCCACTGGTGCCTGGCACCAGTTTTGAGACTTCCTCGTATGACAGGGATAATTTCTAATATACCATTAACTTTCCTTTTTTCCTTTAAATATTTGGGAGAATTTGCACCGTACTCAGGTCAAAGTCTATTTTAAGCTTAAATAAAAAAGAATATTTCATCACATGCAAAACTTGAAACAGAATAATATGGAAATGCATTAGTTGAGTTTTTCCCAAAGACTTCTAAATTTGTTTGATTCTAAACCACTTTGTGGCAATCTGTGGTTTTATGAGAATACTTCACAAAATGATCTCCAATAAAATGGTGCAGCCTTCACTTAAATAATTAAAAAAGAACTTCAATGCCATTGTCTCCACACTGAAGTCACAGATTTTCTTTAGACAATCTTCTCTTAGTGAGGTAAAAATAGCCCGAAATCATCCTTATTAGTCTCCTCTTGAGTCCGAAAATCATATCGGCTCCAACAATGTCCCAAATTCACTCTCTGAACATGATAATTATTATTCATTCTGCTTCTATCAACAGACATATAGTAATTTGAGGACTCTAGCAATTCTAAGGTATTTCTCAATTTCAGAAAGGTTTCCATGTATAAGGTGGGTGCTTTAGAATTTAAGAACATACAATATTTTTTTTAATTTTTTTTTTAATTTAATTTTATTTTATTTGAGAACATACTGTACAGAGGGGTTACAATTACATGGGCAGGATAATGCATACATTTCTTACCAAGCATTGCAGTCTCCTCCTTTGTTTACCCTTCACCTCCCTTCCCAGCCTCCCCCCTCTCCCCCAATCAATCATACCCCCTCTCCTCCCCCCCCCCCCACCGATATTGTAAAGCTGGTTTTGACATGACATTTTGTACTTCTCATTGTTGCAACAGGTCCACCTGAATCCTTAAACAACTTGTTTGTCCCCGTCTCCTCCACATGTTATACTGACATCAAATATAGTGAAAGCGGGGTTTACACTGTGGGGGAGGGACATACAAAGCAACAAAGAAATAATCTTATAAATGTGAAGAACATACAATATTTTTGAAACACTTTATAAATGTCTTTTTAATGAATTTTTTCCTTTTATTAATTGCATTTATCTTTTGTTTATGTGGCACCAAGGACTTAAACCCAGGGCTTCATGCAAGCACTCTACCATTAAGCTACATTCCCTACCCCTTACTTTATAAAATTTTTTAAAAATATTCTCAGAGGCGTTTTCTTATCCTTCTCAAGCTGTATATTATGGGGTTCACAGCTTGAGACAGACAAGTATTGGAAAACCCAGACAGAAAGTGATCCAGAATTGTCTGAAAAACAGAGTATGTCTTTAGGTATAGGCTGCAAAAGCTATTGAAATGAAGGCACATACAACAAGTGGGTGGGGGCTATATGTGGAGGCAGTTTGGACTTACTCTCCAAAGAGATGCTAAGGACCTCAGAGAAGATTTAGGAATCGACAATAGTGGTGAAGAAAGCCAGTGAGGTGTAAAATTGAAGTGAAAGATCATGTATCTTCTTCTACATTTCCTTTTTTAAGACCTAGATTCCCCAGGAGGGAAGCAATTGGAGACCAGATTCTAAATGTGGATATGAACTTGAAACCAAGGGAATGCAGAATTCCACTTAAGCTCCCGAGAGTGTTTTCCCACAGAAGCAGTTTGTGGCTGGATTTTTAGCTGATGGAGCTCTACAGTTACAGGTATACATGTGTTTATCTTAAGTGACATAGTAGAGCAAGAGCACAGGTCCTGAGTTCAAGCCCAGGCACCAGCACATGTGTACATACACAAGAAGGAAAGAAAAAGAACATCGATTTGAAGATAAAATTATCAACACTCAAAGTATTCTCATTGTGGTCTATTCAGTTCTGATAGAAACTTAGTTATTCAAAGTTCAGCTTTCTAACAGGAATATATAGCTTAGGCTCTATTTAAGCACAGGAATGGTATGTTTTGCTTTACTTATTGACATTAACTCATATTGTTTTGTTTTCATTCATCTCATTGCTTTCATTCATGTATAAAATATATAAATTTAGTCAGTATACTAAAATTGGGTCATTGTGGTATAAATGTTTTAGGTATTCCTTTCAACTAGATGGCCTTCCTTAAATTAACCTTTTTTTCTCCTTTCTTTCTTTCTCTCTCTCTCTCTCTCTCCCTCCCTTCCTTCCTTCCTTCCTTCCTTCCTTCCTTCCTTCCTTCCTTCCTTCCTTCCTTCCTTCCTTCCTTCCTTCCTTTCTTTCTTTCTTTCTTTCTTTCTTTCTTTCTTTCTTTTCTTTTCTTTCTTTCTTTTTTCTTTCTTTTTCCTTTCTTTCTTTCTTTCACAAACTTCTGTAGTCAAAGGAGTTACTTTAGCCCACATTTTGTTCCAAGAATGAAGGTCTCCCCCCTTTCTGTTTCTCTCTTCTCTTCTTTTCTTTTTCTTCCTTTCCATCTTTTTTCTTTCTTTCCTTTCATTTTCTTTCCTTTTTTCCTCCTTTCTTTTTTCTTTCCTCTTTCTTTTTTCTTTCTTGTTGCTTCCTTTCTTCTTTCTTTCATTCTTCTTTCTGTCTTTTTTCTTTCTTTGTTTTGGTATTCTTTCTTTCCTCCCTCCTTCTTGCTCTCCTCCCTCCCTCCCTCCCTCCCTCCCTCCCTCCCTCTCTTTCTTTCTTTCCCCTTCTCTCTTTTCTCCTGATGTTTATTTCCTCAGATGGGTGAACTCTTCTCAGGTCAATTACACAGTATAGGAACTATAAAGATTCTATTAAACATTTAAAGAAAAATTACCACCAAGAACTCTGAAACTAATTTAGAATATTTTATTATAAGGCATAGTTCCAAATGCATTTTATAAATACAGTATACTTTGATATAAAACCAAATAAGAATATTTTTCTTTTCTTCTTTTGGTGATATTTTACTTTAGTTTTCTTTTTGTAAAGTTTCAATGTTTTTTTTATTATCAAGGTGATGTACGGAGGGGTTACAAGGTGATGTCAAATTTGTTACCCTCTCCCGCATTATTCTCCTACTGTCCCTCGTCCTGACCCCACTTCCAAATTTTACAGATCATTTCCAACATATTGTCTTGTGTATATCGCTGTTGTGTTGGTTCCCCCCCTTGTCCTTTGTCTCATCATTCTGTTGTTTTCCTTCCCTTCCCCAATTCAAATAAACATGTTATAAAACCAGGGTATCAGAATCAAATACAGCAACAACAGGGGATGTACCATAGGGGAAAGAACATAAAAAAGAATCAACATAATCACACATGACATTCAAAAACAGCAACAACAACAAAGAAAAACCTCTTGTGTCCATGTCTTGGAGTTTATTTTGCTTAGTGTCATCTTATATGT